GAATACAATTTATAGGCCTAGGCTAACTTAATAAAGGAAAGAATAATTAGTGGATCGTTTGAGTATGTATGCACACTTCATTCTACTAACTCATCCCTATCAAGCAAGCACTGTGGCTAAGGAATACTTTGATCACATATTCAAATTGCATGGGCTACCCAAAACTATTATCAGTGATCGGGACAAGATTTTAATTAGAAAATTCTGGCAGGAGCTCTTCAAAATGGAGCAGGTGGAGTTGAGGATGTCTACTGCATATTACCCACAAACGGATGGTCAGACCGAAATAGTGAATAAGTGCCTATCAAGCAAGCACTGTGGCCAAGGAATACTTTGATCACATATTCAAATTGCATGGGCTACCCAAAACTATTATCAGTGATCGGGACAAGATTTTCCTTAGAAAATTCTGGCAGGAGCTCTTCAAAATGCAGCAGGTGGAGTTAAGGATGTCTACTGCATACCACCCACAGACGGATGGTCAGACTGAAATAGTGAAACTTACTTACGGTGTATGATTATAGAGCAACCTAAAGACTAGGCCAAATGTATACCCCTAGTTGAGTACTGGTATAATACCAACTATCATTCAGCTATTGGGATTACTCCATTTGAAGTGGTGTATGGGCAAGCTCCAGCTATCCGCCTTCTTTATGTGAATGGTGATAGCCCGGTGGAAGCTGTGGATCGAAATCTTAAGGCAAGGGAAGAATGCATACAACTGATGAAGTTTCACTTATAGAGAGCTCAAGATAGGATGAAGACACAAGCGGACAAACATGATAAGGAGTTCCATGAGGGAGATTGGGTCTATGTTAGGCTCTAGCCTTAGAGGCAGCAATCCGTGGTCCAAAGGAGTAACCAAAAGTTGTCCCCCAAGTATTTTGGCCCCTTTCAGATCATCACGAATGTGGAGAAGGTTGCTTATTGACTGAAGTTACCTGAGCAGGAAAAAATCCACCCTGTCTTCCATGTGTCACAACTAAAAAAACACCATGGAGAATGTCCAGTTGTTAGTACTTTGCCTAATGAGGATAATAAGGTTCTTTTGAGGGTTGAACCTGCAGCTGTGCTACAAAGAAAAATTACCAAGAACAATGTTGTAATAGTGTATTTGTTAATATAATGGTCTAATGGCAGCCCTGAAGATGCTACATGGGAAGCTTATGAAGATTTGGTCAAAAGGTACCCGAACTTTGTAGCTGATCCAAAAGAAGCTTGAGGAAAAGCTTATTCTCAGGGGGGTGGATTGTTATGGTCCTAGCTTATTCAATGGTGGGTTGGGCTGGTGTGAATGTTCTGTTGGGTCAAACCTATTTTACATGTAACTAGAAATGGGTCAAGAATAATGTTGTGGCATATATATAGCGTTGGTTATGAAATGTAATATGCATGTATGATGTATGCTTCCTTCTCAGAACTTGAATGATATATGTGTCCTGTTGAGTTCTACACCTAGGCTTATGGCACTAATATGAGCCTAGTATGGGCTAGGTTCGTAACACGCGGATGAGATTGTTGGGTGTGTTCCAAAAAAACTAAGAAATTAATTAATAAAATTAATTAAATAAAATTTATTAAATAAAATGACTAAACAAAAAACAGAAAATAGATGAAGCAGAAAAGCCAAAGCTCGTGCTGCACACGATTTCCTTAAAACGTATTCGTTGCCTCCCGGGGTGTTAGGAGCGTTGCAACGATTGTTTCCCAGGATACGATGACTTTGAACAATAGTTTAGCACTCAAACTAAAGTTCCAACGAACGTGAACAAAGCTTAGAACACAGAAGGAATTTTTCTGAGAAGGCTGGAGTGTTTTTGAGCTAAAAGAAGTGATGTACGTTTGTGTGTTGTGTTTTTTTTGCAAAGCAGCTACCGTCCTTTTATAGGGGTGGATTTGCATGTGTTAGTGGCCTGTTTAAGGCACATGAACGTTGGAATCAATGCTGTGAACGTTGGGCATTGATTCCAACCAAAAACATTCAAGCAAGCTGTCCAAACCCGTTGCATTTAGGACGGCATTCGTGTCCGCAGGTCGCTCGCGCACGCAAGTCGCGCTTTTTGTTTTCCGGTTTCGGGATTTGACTCGCACCCCCCCCCCCCCCCCCCCCCGCGTGGAGAGAGCCTTTACCCTAAGAAATTTTAACTGCTTTAGCGGGGTTTCCCTTTATAAAGGGTTCAAATTCCCTTGGGTTTTCCTAACAAAAAACCACACTAGAAACCCACATTTTCCTAGTTTTTCTCCATTTCAACGAGTGAACTTCGAGAATCAATTTCTCATTCACCCGTTATCCGTTTTGAGCGTACCGTATACCGAATTGTAGCCCTAAGCATGAACAATCCAAAACCACTTTGATCCGACCCAAACCGGAAGTGGACCCCACTCAAAACATTGCCTCAAAATGACCATTTAATGCACTTTTAACACATTTTTTCCAAGAGAGCCTGCTATGCGCAAATTCAAGGTAAGGGGCGATCGAGATTTGAAACGAGGGGGGATCAAGGTATGCGAAATGAGGGTTCAGCTACAAGAGACGGGAGCTATTAACCGGAGTTAAACGGAAAAACTTAAATCCTTTAAAAAGTACACAACATAAAACACAATGTACCATCCAATAAAGCAAATGATTACACTAATATAATTTTCAATCCTAAAATGACCTAACCCTCATTGAGCATATAAGCTTATATATAAGAAATAAGTTTTCTTCTTTCAAAAAATTATATCCGGTCTCTTGTGGCCCTTTTTACTAGTGCACACAACGTATAATGATAAACTAATAAACAATAGGGAGAAATGGCTATATCGCTTAAACAAACATCTATTATTTTTAATGAAGTATATACCACTTTAGAAATTAATATAAAAAATATGATAAAACTCAATACATGACCCAATTGTATTTCATAATTGAAAACCTATTTAGATAACATCAAAATTTATGGATTTCGATGTTATTATAACACATACATAACTCATAAGTTTCTAGAATAATTAAAAAGGCTATGCACTTTTTATTGTAAGTATATAACATGAACTTAAAGGTACATAGTTAAAGGGAAATAATTTGCATAAAAGTTTTGCCTTCATTTTTTTTAGAAGAAAAAAGATTTTATTGATAGAAAAAGGAACAGTACAATACAAGAAAGAAGTTAAAAGAAAAATAGTTCAGAAAAAGTAAAAGAAAAATAAATGTGAAACTAATCCCAAGGGAAATCTCTAGACTGAGACCTAGTCCTCATGCTGTGATGACTTTTATTCTTCTAAGATTTTCCTGTAGATTTTGAGTTACGTGTTTGGATTCTCTATTGGAAGACAATTTTCCGAGTTTACGAAAATTGCTTTGCGACAAATCTCTTTGTTGAGTTTGGACTTCCTGATTTCTTTCGGGTATGAAATTGGAGGATGACGGTCACTTTCAGTTGCATGTCCCAAAAAGTCATCTGTGAAGAAAGAGTCATTAGAATGCTCAAAACTGTCGGAGGCGTCTGAGTTTTGCTTTCGTATATACTCATTCATGTTTTATAATAGTATAAGATTTTAATGATCAAAGATAAATTAAATCGTTAGAAAGTTATGGCAGCTTATTTTACTATTTATAGTGAATGTCCCACAAATAATCTCATAATTAAAGGTGATGGTTGAGGGGATTCAATAAATTTTTTAAGATTCTATATAGGGTGTGCGGTAACCCTAGTGCTGCCGCCATCAAAGGAGGTTCACTTCAAGGTTAATCTCTTCATTAGCTTTCTCCCATTAACTTTCATCTTCTCGGTCTAATGATAATCCAAATTATCTGATGGTGACATCGACGCTAAAAGATTCTTGGTAGAGGTATGATCCAATTGGATTGTTATTCACTTCTTGTTGTGTTGATTTTGTTATATGGCGGTTCTTTCTTGGGCATTAGTGCTCCAGGTGGTTTGTGTCTCTCAATGTGGGGAGTTATGTTGTTGTCTCGGTTAGCTTCGTTTGGTCATGTGTTTCTGTGTGCTTTCTTCCAGAGTGCGTATATATATTGGTATAGTTCGTCCTCCTCCAGAACCACCTCCGTGTCATTAAAAGTTTTGTGAAAAGACTTTATTTTAATTTTATTTTTTCATTAGTAGTACTTTTTTTTATTTTAGTTTCAGTAGATTTGGTTTGGAAATTTGGACTTTTGGCATATGTTTGATAGACAGTATTTCAATTCCGATTATTTTAGGCTTTAAATTGCTCATTTCATGTCTAGCGAATCAGGTTGCTTTGTATGAGGTGGCTAGTTCTGTGTCTATTCCAGAGGCTCACAATCGGATTGGTCATAAGTGTCTGAATGTTATCTTGTATCTTTTCTCCATTTTATTATAAAAGTCGATCCTACATATTAAAAAAAAACAAAGATAAATTAAATCAACGACTTTTATTATTTTATGTATACATATATCATTATAATATGAAGTATAAGAGCATCTCTAATGGTTCTTTTAGATGATTTGCTTGTAATTTTAAAACTAATAACTTATCATTGGAGCATTACTTTTCCTTTTATGTGTGAAAAGTAATTAGTCAAAATGAGCTATTAGCTTGAACAAAGTCAATTACTAAATATAACACTATTAATAATAAATGAAGAGAAGATTTTATAGCTAACCATTGGAGTCAATTTAATTTTGCTGCAAATGATGATGTGGCTAATCAAGCTATGAGGGTAATTAGCTGATCGTTGAAGATGCTCTAAGATATTAATAATTTTAGCTAAAATAAATGAATGGCTATTCTTAGTTTATGCATTATGTAGATTGATACTCGTGGCGACGTATCCGCCCTATATGTAGACAGTGTACATCTTAAATGAGATGTCTATTCTAACATGTGTATTCAGAATTGAGATGCTTGTGATTTGTTTAAAATGACGGAATCGTACGTACATTTAGAGCAAGTTTAGGCGTGCCTCTGCCAAAACGTCTATCTACCTATAAATCTGGCGTACCAAAACTAGAAAAACATTCCATCTTTGAATCATTTGGTTGTGCTCTATATACGGAGTAGTATATACACAAGAAATCAGAGACATAATTAATGTTCTTGAATTATTCAATAATTTATGACAATGCTCAATTCACTTCCTGCTTCAATATGCATTTTTCGTGGCCATGGCCTTCAAACTTCTAATAGATCAGCGGCAGCAGCTCATCATCAACCGTCATCGTTTCGTGTAATGTGTAGTCAAACAACAACAACTAGCAGAAGATCTGGGAATTATAAGCCTCCTACTTGGGATTACACTTACCTTCAGTCCTTCAACACTAATCACTATACAGTACGTAATACTCCATTTATTACGCTTCTATGTCCCTGAATTTATTATCTTCTAACTTTTGTTTTGCCTGTTCCAAAATAATCTATGTTTTCCTTTTTTGACAATGAATTTGTGGGTGACAAGCATTTTTTATACATCCTTAACATTTCTCTTTTCTATGTACAACAATCCACTACACAAATATTACTTTCTTGATTCCCGTGGAAAATATCGTTCGAAAGATAATTCAGGACACAAGGAGTACTACATGAGAAAAACAAACACCTCAATACATAGTTTCAAATCAAATCAAATCAAATCAAAATATCCTATTACTTCAAATCAAATCAATCAATCCTTCTACATGGTCTCTCTTAGAACAATACTTCCGTCCCAATATTATATTCATTGTTTGTTGGGGTTATGTCTAAAATAATACTAAAAAAAGAGTTATAGACAAAAAAGAGACCTTTTTTTTACTTTCCAAAAAAGGGACCTAGAAGGGGATTAAGACATATGAAGTTAACAATAACAATACTAACGTGCTCCAGTAGCCACTTTCCATTAGTGCTCCAAATCCGTTACTCAGTTAGTGACCAAAACTCATTAGTGACCAAAAATTCAAATTCCGCCAAGTAACAAACGTCCGCCCGCACAGTTACAGTTACCCGACCCGTCCATTTACAGTTACTCAATCTGTCCAGTTACAGTTACCCGACCCGTCCAGTTACAGTTACCCGACGCATCCAGTTATAGTTACCGACCCGCCCAATTATAGTTACAGTTACATAACCTGTCCAGTTACAGTTACCCGACGCGTGCAGTTACAGTTACCGACCCGCCCAATTATAGTTACAGTTACATAACCTCTCCAGTTACAGTTACCAACCGGACTAACGATCATGACCAATCCAACCATGACCAATCCGACCGTGACCAATCCGGCCGTGACCAATCCGACAGTGACCAATCTGATCGTGACCAAACCGACCATGATCAATCCGACCAGTTACCAACCCGACCAATTATCACGATCAATTACTAATCATGACCAATTCAACCATTGACCACCACGACCACCACTACCCCGACCACCATCAGTCCACCGCCACCCCAACCACCACTGGTCCACCGCCGCCCTTGACCACCACCGGTCCACCGCCGCCCCTGGCCACCTTCGTCCCCGACCACCCAGCCCCCTCCCTAGCCATCATTCCCTTGCAGACCTGATTTCCCAACCCCATACCCAACCCCTGCAACTGTGACATCCCCTCCCCTACACCGCCCTGAACAGCCCGTCACTGCACAAATCCAGCCACCTGCCACCACTTTACATCCCCCATGAGCCAGTACCTGCTCCAAAGAGTCAGCAATTTCAGATCTGTGCGAGTTAGACGACGGATTTTTTCAGGTTGACGGCGGATCTGTTCAACAACAAAACCAACGTCAACTCCCAACTCTGACGGTACGAGCGGCGGCAGTTTGCAGAAAAGAGGAAAGGAGGAGAAAAGATGGAGATGAGTTGTCATCGTCGTCGCTATTTGAAGCCACCGCCGTCGCTATTCGAAGCCGTTGCCGCCGTCGCTATTTGAAGCCGTCGCCACCATCTCTATTTGAAGTCTTCTCTTCCGTCTCTAAATGAAGCCGCCGCCTCGGGCGTCTCTAGTCGCAGGGAAAGTAGATGCTGACAATGGCTGAAGATGGCTGGATGAGGAAGAGGAGTGAAGCTCCGTATTTCCGATCCGTAAGCCAGCGGGAAGGTGAGAAGGGGGGTCCCTTTTTTGTCCAAAAAAGGAGACGATCTACTTTTGTCCGCTCATAAGTTGGAGGTGCTACTTTTGACATTATTTCTTGTTTGTTTTTACATTCATCCCAATAAAAATTTCTTTTGATCTTTTATGTAAAGAATTTATGATTTTTAGTATTTGTCCACACTTTCTCTCTCTTCTATACAATTCGAGACCATACATTTTTCACATTCTTAATTCGTGTGCAAAGTCAAAATAGAAGATAATATTGGAAGCAAAGGGGTAATATATGTTGTTGTAATAATATGCAGACTGAGAGGTACGTGACAAGACGTGATGAGTTGAAGAAAAAGGTTCACAATATGCTGAACAATGAAGAGATGGAAGACTTGGAGAAGATGGAGGCCATTGATGAATTGCAAAGGATGGGATGTGCTTGCCATTTTGAGGATGAAATATGGGAAGCTTTGAAGGTAAGAAACAGTTGCAGTCGAGAGGGGAAAGCGAATTTGTATTCTACAGCTCTCAAATTTAGACTGCTCAGACAAAATGGCTTCTGTCCCTCTCAAGGTATGTACTTTAATTAAGATACTGTACTTCAATTTCGTTTAGATAAACTCACAAGATTTATGACCCGAGAAGATTTATGACTCCACGATGACTTTCACTCAAGTGAGATTAGAATTGCAGTTTCAACACTAATTTAGGGGGTTTGGAACTGATTCTGATAGAGCTTCTTTTTTAAAGCAGAAGCAGAATCAGAATCAGTTTTCAGAAGCTGGTCTCCTCCATCTTCTAAATAAACTGATTCTAGAAGTAAATTAGAGCACCATAATCATTTCTGCACTTTCACTCATACATTTTAACTTCTGCTTCTGCTAGGGAGCAGAAGCAGTTTTAAAATCATAATTTAGTACATAAAGAAAGTACTTTGTATGTAAAAAACTTACAAAAACTAATATCTGCAATGTCAGAGAGACTCAAGAGAGGCCAAAGGTCATCTTCAACATTTTCTTTTTTGTCCTTTCCGAAATAATCTTCTATTTCCATTTTTGGCATTGAATTCATAGTTCACAACGTTTCTTACACATTCTTACATATTTCTCTCTTCGTTACACAAGTCTGCACTACACAAAACACATTATCTTAACCTCCGTGTCAAATATACTTTGGATGATAATTTCGGAACAGTGGAGTAATAGCAATACACTCGTAGTATATAGATGAATGATCATGTCAAAACTACCTTACTAGAACCACTGTCCCATCGCCTCCGTTTCAGTTGCTTCCGGGTGGAAGTTTTTGATGAGATTTTGTGACCATGTTCTTCATGAGGTGTAGATTTGGTCCACCAAGTATCACCTAAAAATTCAATCAGGAAGTCAGTTAAATAAATTTTTGAAAAATATTTCGCCAAGATCCCCCGCTTGAATTTTCATGGAGTATATGGCACAAGATTCCCCGCTCCACACACTCCTCCCACCGCAGGAGGCCCAACTACTTCAAATAGCCAAGACAAGCTTACGGGTACCCCTCGGGTACAAGCCCGAGGGCTATGGACCATGTCTTCTCACAGAAAGATCATCCCACCTACTAGATCCAGAATACCCTGTCTCTGAGCGATCCCTCGGTAAAGAGCCTTCGGGTCTCGAGGGCGAAGTCGTCATCGGCTTCGTCAAAGAGGACTTTCGGGTTAGCAACTTGAACATATTGTCTTTTATTGTATATATATATAAAGCGCAATACTACCTCCGTTCTTTAATATTAGTCCTCTTAGGCTTTGGCACGGGTTTTAAGAGGAAAGTAGTAGGGGTAGTGTAAAAGGTGTAATGAGTAGTGGGTAAATGAAAAAGTAGGAAAGAGAATGAAGTAATGGTAATAAAAGTTGGGGTATAAAGGTATATTTAGAGTAAAAACTTTCCTTAAATGGAATGAAGGACAGATAAAAAAAACGTCCCAAAAAAGAAAGAAGGACTAATAAAAAAGAACGGAGGGAGTATGTTTCAATAATGTATTTAATTGATTTCTCGTATTAATTTTAATTTGAAAGTGTGTGAGCATAAACTACACTTACATGAAGAACATGATCAAAATATTCCATTAAAAATTCCTTAGAGCCTGTTTGGCGACCCTACCTGCAACCGGCAAAACTTGCTGCATTTCCGTCCTAGATGAACCCAAACAGGACCCCACCAGAAAACTTTGATAATGATTGAATTCTTGAATGTGAGTAGATGTGTTTGATGGTTTCCTGGATGAAAGGCGGGTCAATTTCAAGACTGAAATTTGCGAAGACACCAAGGGATTACTAAGCTTATATGAAGCATCCTTTCTATCCATGGAAGGTGAAACCACTTTGGACTTGGCCAGAGACTTCTCCACCAAACATCTCAAACGGGCAGCCGCCGGCTCCACAACCGCCAACCCAAACCTTTTGGCGGCCGTTGAACGGGCGCTGGAAATGCCTTTGCATTGGAGGGTGCCGAGGCTGGAGGCCAGCAGTAACATTCACTTGTACCAAGCAAAACCGAACCATAATCCTGTCCTTTTGGAATTAGCTAAACTGGACTTCAACCTTGTTCAAACTCTGCACCAACATGAATTGAAATCCGTTTCAAGGTAAGTATTTGTATGTTCATTCTAAAACGTATTGGTACTAATGGTAAAATCATTATAAAATGTATTCTCCACAATTAAATAGCACATACTAGTTCTATATGTAAGAATGTTTTTAGAGAAAAAATTATTTGAACACGGAATCTGTACACATTTTATGTACACATCTCAGAGTTGCATGTGTACACAATCAGCTCTTTCAGAAATTACTTGTGTACACAGGCAACTAAGCGTGTGTATACACAATGTGTACAAATTTCGTGTGCAAGTAGCATGGTTGTGTTTTAAATTAGAGGGAATAATGTTTTTGAACTTGTGTTGTTTCAATCTGGTCAAGCCAAGTCTGAATTAGTTTGGTCCAATAGATGTCATTTTTGTGTGTACTTTATAATGGTTGAAATCTGATATCGAGATTATCCTCGATACTAGTACAAAATATTCCGAACCCAACATATCCAAAACCATAATTTTTTGTATCAGAGTTTATGAATGTCAAATCCTAAAGACGACGAAAAGAATATACTTTTTGTAGGCATGCCGCAATACATATTCATTCTAGAAACATAACTAATATACTATCGTATAAACGTACGGCGTAATACTTAACATTAAGACATTTCGGGGTTTAAATTAAAACTTGTTACATCGTGTGTCCAGAAAATTTTCTCAGGGATTAAGCTTACACTATGATTATAACACCTGACTTTCATAATCTATGTAGTTTAGTGAACAAATATATATATTAATAGTAAGAAATATAGTACAAATCTAGTACGGACGGAGTATTTAATTAAATCAATTAAAGTTTTAATTGGGGCATCTACGTTTTTCGATCAGTGCAGGTGGTGGGAGAACTCATATATTGGAGAAAAAATGAAGTTCGCGAGAGATAGAGTGGTAGAGAATTTCTTTTGGGCAGTAGGAATACTTAGCAACCCCAGGGACTCAAACGCCAGAAGAATGCAGGCAAAGCTTATTTGTCTCTTTTACACAGTTGATGATATGTACGATATATATGGTACTCTGGATGAATTGCAAGTCTTCACTGATGCTGTTGAGAGGTACGCACCGATAAGATCATATGGGCAAAAATACCGAACCGGCATGGTATATACCGAACCGAACCGATATGGTACCGGACCGAAAAACGGGGTTTGAAACGGATCTCAATTTTTTTGTCTCGAACCGAACCGTGCCGATTCTAAACAATGCCATGACCGGTTCTCATTTTATGAGAACCGAAACCGGACCGAACCGGGCCGAAGTATGATTTAATTATTTAAATTTACATTTATACCATTATTTTGACTATTGCCTTTACATTTTCACCGTCTTTGCTAGTTCATCATGAAGCCTGGAATCGGACCGATGTATGGTTTAATCTTTTAAATTTGTACTACTATAATTTATCTGAAACTTATTAATTATGTAATACTACCTTCGTCCCAAATTGATTTGCAAAATTAACTTTTTTTTGTCAAACAAATTCATTTTATTCACTTAACTAGAATGTCAATTTTTTATTATATTTAATTTGGAGCTTGCAACTTTGAAGAAATTTCAATGTAATTTCTGAATATGTTTATTTTAATTATTAAAAATTGAATTAATTATCAATGAAGAGAATTTAACTCTAACATTGGTTGACCAAAAAATATTGACTTTGCATGTCAATTTGGGATGGAATGAGTATGAAAATTGATAAATTGTGTAGATTTTTGGAGGATGACTAAACTTTAATTGTCTCTTAAACACTTGGAAAAAGTGGCATTGTTTGGTATTGATATGGCATGGTACCGTCCCGTTTCAAAATGAAACCGTATCGAACGGGTTTAGGTCTAAGACCGAACCGAACCGTTTGAATAGTAACGGTACGGGTACGGGTTCGGCCAAATATTGGACCGGACCGCGCCCACCCCTAAATCGTGTTTTGTTCAATTCAAATCTTATTCATAAAATGTTCACTAAACGGGAATGGTCAAATGGGTAATAGGAGATTACAGTTTTATACCTACGGGTCATGATACGCGCTACAAGATCATTTTAGTTACTTTTTTCATATAATTTTTAATTTTATTTATTCATTACAAATATTTTAAATATTTTTTTATAAATCATCATAATCAGCCAATACATCTACTTTAGCCATAACATCATAAATTTCCTCAGAATCAACCAATTTAGCAATCTCTCTGGTTCACTTTTATGTAATTTTACTAGTTTTTTTATACTCGTGATGCGCGTTTGAGTAAATGTCCAATATTATATAAATGAAATTCAAACTTCACACAAAAAGAACGAAAGTGAGATAAAATTTGAATGAAATAAGAAGAAACAGTACAAATGTTTCTCATAGTAAAACCATCAAACCAATACTTAAAACTATATTCTAAGTTTAAAAAAACTATATTTTAAGTAAAAAATAGCCACATTTCGATTTGACATCCTTTCTCGTATTAACCACGTTCCAAACAAAATACTTACTTGATTCAGAACAAAAGTAAAATATTAGGAATTAAATTGATGAAGTAAAAATATATTTATCTTATATATTCGTTTCGAGAATTGTAATATCAATCTGTTCCATTAAGGGAGTGTTTGCAACAGCTTCTGCTTAAAAAAAGCACTTTTGGAGTGATTTGGAAAAGTGATTAATTGTAAAAGTTGATAGTGTTTGAGAAAAAAGTGATTTTGAAAAGTAAAAGTTGGTAGTATTTGGTAAAATTAGTGCTTTTGGTGTATAAAAAGGGCAAAAGCACTTTTGACACGAAAGCCGAGAAAAGTAAAAAATTGATAGTGTTTGGTAAGTAAGTGCTTTTTAAGCCAAAAACTGAGAAGTGTTTTTTTTAAAACTGTTGCAAACCAGCCCTAAAATTGTTTCATTTCCAATTTGGTAAAATTGTATGGTTCTAAATTATTCATATTTTATTTTTACTTCATCAATTTAATTCCAATCGCATAAACCTATTTTCTTAATAACCGCATGATCTCCTCATGTCTCCAATATTAGTGAGAAGGATGTAGACTTTAGATGTGTTTTGGTCAACCCACGCTATATGATGATTAGGTCAATCTACACGATTACAGTCATAAAAGTGTTTTTAATTGGACTGAAATTTTATGTTTTAGTTTGGTGTCATAGATGTTGTTATATGTGTATTTCATAAATGTCGAGGTTTATTGTTGTTGGTAGAAAATAATCCGGGTAGAGAAACTAGCAGCATTTTAGGATAGTAGAAAAAGCGTCCCGAATACATGGGGGGCGATGGCCTATTTATAGGCATCCATCACAAGTTCAAAGCCTAACCTACGTGGGCTTGGCCCAAATACATAATACATGTCCAAGCTAATGGGCGAACTGGCCCGATAAATAAGTAAATGAGCAATGGGCTATTTCCGCTCGTGAGACTGTGTCTTGGGCCTAGTTGGGCCAAAGCTCGGGGATAACGGGCCGATGGCACTGGGCCTGGTCTATTATCCCAACAATTGTGATCCCATATATGGATTTTTTTCTCTTTTTAAGTTTGGTCTAATCTTATTTGATTTGGACTAAGACTGAAATCAATCCAATTAAAATCATCTTAAATGAAAATGCATTCTCGTATTCAAAATGGTGTCACACTTTGAGTCACATATAGACATAAGTAAATACACAAGGGTATGTTTGGCACAACTAGCTGAAAAGATACTTTTAAAGTTTATTAGTAATTGTTGTCTTTTTGTGACCGAAAAGTCTTAAAAAGAAAAAAAAAATACTAGCTATTTGAATAGAAGTTGAATATTTTATTTAGTTCTATTTGGTGGTTTAGCTTGAGTACACAGGCTCCTTTGACTTATTGATACGTAGTACTAAAACTACATACTTTTGTCAAGTGTTACTCAGTTTAGTTTTTCAAAAAAGATTTTTTATTTTAGTTATTGTCTTAAATAGGACTAAAACTAGGCTAAAAATCATAAATATGACTACACCCCTAAATCATTCACAAATAGGATTAACCATTAATTTTGTACCCTATATACTCTTAAGTGTATTAATAAATGTTTCAATTCATAATAAAATCATAAGAAATATTAAAAACATAGAAAAATAATAAAAAAAATATTTATGAAATAAAAATATTAAAATATTAAAAATAAAAAATATTTATGAAATAAAAATATTAAAAATAATAAAAATAAAAAATTCAAAAATAAGTAAAAATAGTAAAAATAGTCAAAAATTAAAAAAATGGATGCCTTTCCAACCGCTTCTACTACTCACCCACACCACCACCTCCAACAAATGTAAAAGCTTTTCTTTCTATGTAAAAAAATGCCATTTTTCTGAATATGCCAAAAAATGACATATTACTCTTTGATAATACCAGAATTTTCATTGAAACTGCCATTAATATCGTATTACTAATGCATGTGGTATTTTTCGGTAACTGGAGGTGGCGGTGCTGGGGTGGCAGAGACGGCGGTGATTTTTTTCATTTTTCTTTTATTTTTATGTAAAAATTAAAATTTTTGTTTTAAAAAATTATTAATTTTTTATTATTTTTGTACGATTTTTTATTATCTTTTATGATTTATAATGAATTAAAACATTTCGAAAGCTATAAGGGTATATTTGTCTAAACACACATAATTAGTCTTACTAGTGAATAAAAAAATGTAGTCACATTTGTGATTGAGGACTAGCTATCTTTTACTCCTAGGTAAGTAACTCTTTTCATTTTGATAAAAGTTCTTAAAAATTATTCCACCAAACATATAAATAGAATTTTAGTGAGTTTTTAAATAGGAATAGTTTTAGTATAAAAGCTAAAAGATTGAACATATTCCTACCAAACAATATAATGTACATCTAAGATTTTTCCTCATCTATGTTTAATTTGATCTTTTATGTGCAATTCGAGTTTTGATAAAGTACGGAGTATTTAAGCTTTTTCAATCTCCATATATGACGAAAATGCATGGTGTACACAATTGTGAGGTTGTGTGACGAAAACGTGCGCATACTAGTTACCTTGTAGTGTCACGTTATGAGTTAGTGAGCCTCGTTAGTGATATTCAAATTGACTAAATAGGTTTATTCGGTTGAAATTAATAAAATTCTGGTTGAATTGGTTCCATAGACAGATTTAGTCGATTTACAAAAAAATTATGTTTAAAATATATTTTATTAACAAAATAAAGAAAAAAAATTATGAAAAAAAGCTAAAATATCTATCACGGTAACTTCAACCAATTCAATCTGAAAAGTATCTTCAATCTTATTTATTTTGATTACTATACAACTCAGCGCGTAAAATCAAAATTACGTGTTTGGTGAAGAAATTAGCACCGAGTAAATTTATGGAGCCCTATATAACTCTCTTATGGAGTCATATGGGTCATTGTGACACCCATCTTTACCATTCAATTTTTAAGTGGGGACTTCATATAGAATTGAATGGTATAAATGGTCTCGCAATACTTCATATGACTGAGCCATATGAGGCTATAAAGTTTTGTTAAATACTATCGTATAATAGAGATCGTTGACTAGCAATATCTAGCATTGTATTCACGTACTTTTATAATTTATTTGATTAGTGTGGATGATGATATACTCCTTAATCTCTTTAACCAATTCAGATGGAGCGACATAACAGAAATTGGACATCTTCCCGATTATATGAAGCCATTTTATTCTGCACTCCACAACCATGTAAATGAAGTGGCATATGATGCCGGCAAAAAACAGGGCATTCTTGTCTCCCGTTATATAAGAAAAGCGGCAAGTTAAATACTACCTCTCTTCTAAAAATCATTCTAGGCGCCCGCCTAGGCGCTAGGCAGTGGTCGGGCGCCCGATTTTCGTCTAGGCGCTCCGACTAATTGGTTTGCCTTCTAGGTGAATTAGTCGCCCGCCTATGGTGCCCACTTGCCTGCCTAGAGCGCCTAATCGGCCGCCTAGGGCGTCTAATTTGTCAAAATTACTTCACTTTTTAATTTTAATTTTCTAAGCGATATACATACTTTAACTTTAGTCATGGATATAAAGAAATGAAGTTGTAAATAAAGATAGAACCATATACGTTTGTATATATACCTAAATTTTATCATTATTTATATTTATAACATAATGAAGTTAAGTGATTAGTTATCATATACTCCGTACTACGTATGATTAAATGTGAGAATTATATCATTCATGTTTGTTAATGTATATGTATATATATGTATTTTATACACACAAAGATACAAAATTACTTATCATATTTATGCAAAAATATAGATAAAAATGCAATTTCTATGTCTCCGACTAGTCCCCGCCTAGGTGCCCGCCTAGCCGCCTAGGCGCTAGGCACTGGGTTGGCGCCCGACTAGCGTCTATCGCCTTTTAGAACATTGGTAACTACTCATTGCATCATATGTTAATTTACTCTATTAAAATTTTTTGTCCTAAATATGAGTAAAAATGTTTGTGAATTTCAAATTAAATCAGGAATGTAGTGTTTTTATTCTCTAGATGTGAATAATTATTATCATGTTTTAGCATTATCAGATTTTAAGCATGACAGTGTTTTCAAGTTTGACAAACCGGCCTATTTTTAGAATTTGAATTTTTTTTACTTTTATTTCGAGGATCCCCCCAAATAACTATGATAATGACACCACTATAAATTCAACTTTCAATGTATTCAGTGGGTGGATCTTTGCAAATCACACTTACAAGAGGCAAAATGGTTCCATAGTGGGTACACGCCATCATACGAAGAATACATTGAAAATGCATGCCTTTCAACAGCAGTTCCTCTGGAAATAGTTCATCTTTTCATTTGGGCCAACAACCCTTTGAATGAAGAAGCCTTACGCTGCCTCTCACAGCATCATCATGACATTGTTCGTTTCACATCTTTGATTCTCCGCTTAACAAATGACAAAGCAACATCTCTTGTAAGTGCATATTTAAATTCTTGAATAGATATAGTTGGGTTTTACATGGATATGTTTTTTTTTTGAAAGGTACATGGATATGTTATTATTTGAAGTTTTTGTTTCTTATATAATTTCAGAACGAAATGAAAAGAGGCGATACACCAAAAGCTGTGGAGTGTTACATGAATAGTGCTAAAGTCTCTATCAGCGACGCTCAAGATAACATAAACTCTCAAATAAATGAGGCATGGAAGAAAATGAATAAGATTGGATTTGAAGATAACCCGGCCTTCTCAAAAATATTCATTGAATTCTCAACAAATGTTGCAAAAGTGGCTCAGTACATATATCAACATGGAGATGAACATGGGGTGAAGTCTATATTTTTCGAACCTATTCCTTTAGATTACGCTAGTTTTTCAAATAAAATTATACTTGGATGACATTATGAATGCGGCACTATTTTACGACACAAATAAATTTGATTGAATATTGAAATTTCTAATTCGGGGTTATAATTACTATTGTGATACCCGTGTGATGCAAACAGTTTTATTTTTATATATCGATATTTACTTTAATAAAGGGGAAATCATGCTTTTAATCTTTTGCTACATATATTATAATGTAATCCTTATGTATTCAATGTAATAAATGTTATCTCTAATTGTATGAATGTTGGTGATAATGTGTTCCTTCCGTGAAATTGAACTACAAAGTTATTTTTTTGAAATTTTGCACTTATAGACATTGTCAAAATCTTTCGCACTGATAATCTTTAGCCCATCAATTGCTCATTTTTAATATTCAGCTTCTTTTTTACTTTATCTTCCTTATTACTAGTCTGTTTGCCCCCCTTCAATTAGGGATCGTAATTTAACCCGACCCGATGGGGAATACGCAATTTATGTAAATGGTTAATGGGGCGGTTATGGGTTTATACCTACCCGTCCTGTTACCCGTCCGATTTAATTTAGATACGGTTACCCGCAACATTACCCGACCCGCACAATTAACGTATATATTGTAATAGTTTATGTATTTATTATTTAATATATTAAATGTATATGAATAGTAGTACATTAGTATTTGACACTTATTCTCTCTAATACTTTGAAACACTATTCAAATAATCGGCTATTCTCTTTCAAAAAAAACATTCATAAAATTCACATTTGAGTGTAAAGTCCAAATATTGTGAAACATTACTCTAGCTTGCTTTAATTTATGTAATTGCTAATAGTTTTGTACAGGTGTATTGGATGATTAGATTAAATTTGATTGGTTGTTCTAATTTATATCAAGTATTAAATTTAAATTATGAGATTTCTAAAATAGTAACTACAAGAATACCAAAATCATAGTATAAGAAGTGTCTTTTAGTGTGGACAAAGATGTGACTCTAGTAACTTTAGTGTTTATAATTTTATTCAAATGTTATATTGTAGTGACTATAAAATTTATTCATGGTGACTTATAGTCACATTTATGTTCATATACGTAGTATATTTTATTAGTAATATTTTAGGAAAACGCATTGAATGCACAGGATATGCAACATTTGGTGGGAGGGAGATTAATCACTAATGATCCTCCACATCATCATTACCACATACTCTATGATAGTATAAATAGTAGCATTTATTTCATTGTTAGGGGTTGACAATTAACTTGTACTATTAGCTTTAGCTCTCTGTTTTTCTGTAATCACGACTTAGAATAGACCTTTGACCTTTGGTCAAGTGTGTGCTGTAATTGTTCTCTAATGCTTGCCCACTGACTATCTTTCTTCCTTCTTGCTGAGTACTTGTTCCTTTGAATTATTAACTAACTCACAAAATACAATCAACCCATCAAAATATCCAACGGAATCCCTAGAGAAAGTGTTGGATTCTTGAACCAACAAGAATAAACCTCAACAATAACACTAATACATAGTTTTTTAACGTGAGTGTGAACGTGTGATTGAGTAAATATTAAAAAAAAGTGTGAGTATGTGTGTATTTTTAGTTGTCGATGTGTGTGCGCATACATGCATATACACATGCATTGCTCCTTATATAGTAGATTAGTAGTGTGTGTGAGTGCACGTAGAGTGCTTGTGAGTGTTTGAGTGCATTTAAAGTAGAGATTTTGAATTTTACATAAAGATAATGTTTAGGCCATGAAAAGAAGTTGATTGGTTTGGATATTCTTTTTGTCACTATACTATCTTCCAAAGTACATTTGACATGAGATTATGATAGTTGGGGATCTGTGTAATAGAAAGTTGGGCAGACGGGTGAAAATATGTAATAATATGTAAGAAATATTACGAACCACAAATTCGTTTTGAAATGGAGAAATGAAAAGATTGCTCTTGGATAGATGAAAAATGAAATTTGGAAAATAATTCAGGGACAAAGAGAGTATTATTCAATATTTTTTATGTTGAAGTGATATTATAATAATAAATTATTTCCTCTGTCCCTTTAAACCTGACCAAGTTTAACCACACCCAGATTAATAAAATAAAAAAATTTGTGATTAAAGATTGTCTGAATTGCAAATAAGAGAGAATTAACATGAACAATAAATTCTTTAGTTAAACAAAAAAGTGAAAAAATTAGAGAGATAATAAAAAAATGAGAAAATACGCAAAATGGTACATGGAGTTTTTTCAACGGGAGTAAATAGTACTTCATATTGCATTTGAAATTTTAAAGTACATGAACTTGTATTTTTATAGTCGATCAAGTACATCTGCTCTGTCAGAATGTCAAAGTAGCTAATATGTCCAAACTATCCGCTTGTGTTATACATTGGCAATAAAATTCATCAAATATATAATTAATCTATACTCTATTTTTCTCTCGTCCACTCTTTTTCACCTTCACTCATCATCTTATATTTTTCTTTTCTGCTCTCTTTTCTCTCTGCACTATATCTTATACTTCTCCCGTATGCTCTCCTCGTTATCCTGTCGTCATCTTTTTGCTCTATTTTATTTTCTTCTTCCCTAGCTATAATAAAAAGGACTGATTTATTTTAAAAAAAAAGACTGATAGCAAATAAAAGACGAAGCTGCCAAGATAACAGGGAGGGCAGCCAAGAGAGAAGAAGAGCAGCAAGGGCGGAGCTAGTGGGGGGGTCAACCTAGGTCATGGTCCACCCCAAATAAAAAAAATGCTTTAATTTTAAAGAAAAACTTATGTATAATTTTTTTTTCCAAAAATATTCTTTGTGTTGGTCTTGTCCGGCCCAGTGGCCTGACTCCACCCTTCAAGAGCAGACGAGAAAAATATAAGATGAGGAACGAAGGTAAAAATGAGTGGATCAGATGAAATTAGAGTTTATAGATTAATTATTTGATGACTTTGACTACACGCATATATTACAAACTGATATTTTGGCCACGTCGTTGTTTTAACTTTCACAGAGCAAATATACTTAATCAAGTTTAAAAGTGCAAGTTCACGTATTTGATAGTTTCAAATGTAGTACTCATAGTATTTACTCCACTTGAAAAAATTGATGTACCATTTTAATCATTTTTTCATAAAATATTGGCAAACTTTACAACAAAAGAAAGCTTTGTAATACATGCGGTGCGGTCCCAAAATTATAATTGGGCCGGAAAATAAAGGGGACAAATTGCACAGTAACCCATTTACCGTGATTTACAGCTTTCTCAGAACGGGGAGGAGCAGGTAAATGAACGTTGAGCTACAGACAAACAGCATACCGTCTTCATCTTCCCATTCACCACCCTTCCCTTCCGGTCCCACCCTCCCTGCAATCTCTCTATCACACACACCAGCACAACCCTCTCTCAAAGCTCTGCAACCCCCAAACCCCACAAACTTCAGAACCCCAACTTGTATCTCACCATTTACACAGTCTCTCTCTCTCACACCCTCAATCAAACACTTGATGGGCAGCATTTGAGCCAGGAGGGTGTAAATCCAAGGTAAGGTTATTAAATTTTAGGGTTATGGACCTGGATAACAGACCCCCTCCCCACCACAGAACTCCCAGCATAAGTAACAATACTGGTGAGCTCCTCGTTTGCTTCGCCTCTCGTTCATCTTCTTCCATGAAGCTCTCCAAATCTATACTCAGTCCGGGCCGGTCTCGCGACCCCTCCGTCTCTCTCTCCAATTCTCTCAGCCGGCGGCTGCGGAACAACGGCAGCATCAAGGCCGGCCAGGCTTCCCCGATGTTCCCCAAGAAGCGCGGCGGCTCTGCTTTCGAGAATCCCGAGCCATCTTCTCCCAAGGTGACTTGCATTGGCCAGGTCCGGGTCAAGACCAAGAAGAAAGTGAAGCACGCCGGCGGTGGGAGCAGCAGAAGCTTGTCCAACAGACGAAATGGTGATCTGAGTTTCAGGAAAAGATTAGATCGACCGGGTTCTGCCGCGGAGGAAGACGACGCCGGGAACGATAGGTTATCCTCTCACCCCCCCTGCCTGCAGAGGAGTTCAAGCGTCCATTATCAGGAATGCGTTCCTCACAGGAACCAGAGGTGGGTTCATTTGCCATTGACGATTTGCGAAGCTCTCCGAGCTTTTGGTGCGGAGTTTAGCTGCTTGTTCCCATGCCGGTCTTCGTGTTTCTCAGCTAACAATGAAAGGGGAAAAGAAGGAAAAGAAAACGGATCTAAGGAGGGCGGGGTTGACCACAATGGGACACATCATGGATCGTGTGGGGCGGTGTTCGCGAGATGGCTGGTGGCTTTGCAGGATGGAGAGGAAGGAGGAAAGGGCAGAAGCCGGGAGATTCAGCTGGTGGTGGCCGGGGATAGAGACCACAGAGAGGAAGAGGAAGAGGAGGAGGAAGGCAGAGAAAGTAATGCTTCAATGCTGGGTTCAACAAGGAGGCGGCGGCACGTCTTTGAAGGTATTGACCTAAAAGATGAATCTTTTTTTCAAGTTCAGAAAGGTGATGAAGAAAGTGGAGGTGACAATGAGAAGGGGAGAGTGAGTATTTGCATCCCGCCCAAGAATGCTCTGCTTTTGATGAGGTGTCGATCTGATCCTATGAAAATGGCCGCTCTCACCAATCGGTTTTGGGAAAACTCCGATATTAAAGACGAAGAAGACAATGAGGGTGAAGAAGAAGTCGCCGGCCATGGTGAAGAAGAAGGAGAAGAAGAAATGCTCAGATCTGAAGTGCTGTCAAATGGATGCGCGAAAGAAGTGACTGAACACAATGTATCTTCCTCTTCATCTGTTGAGCATGAAGAGGACCACCACCTTAGAATGGAAGAAACATCCATGGGTGTGGAAGTTCTGTTAACTGAGAATGAAATAACTCAATTGAATCCAGAAGAGAAAGAAGTCGATGAGATTGAGATTAAAAACGATGCAGAAAATATGTTCGAAAGACTCGAAACAAATGGCCTGATTTCATCAGATCTAGAAGAAATTGTTTCGCCCTTATCATCTTCTTCATCGGAATTAAACTTCCCTGAATCAAGTTGTGAAACAGAGGAAAAACTATCAACATTCCCCATAGAAGCTGCCCACCTCCCCCAAGAAGAACCAGAAGAAGTTAAAGTTGATGGAAGCCGTGAAGAACCCACAAGACACGAACTTGCACTGGAAGAAGGGGAAGAGGTAGTAGATGGTGGGGTCGAAGAAGAGGAAGGAGAGAATGTGGAAGAAGAATCAAACGCACAGATTGATGAGAAGATTAATTTGAAGATAGAAGTTAGCGATGAAGAGGCTCAAGAGCCTGTAGAAGATGACAGAAATGTTGAAAAAC